CACCAACAGGGGGCAGCACTGATCTCACTTTATCTCTGAGATCTACCCCTGTGTGTTTACTCTTCCCTTAGAGCACTGTTTCTGACACTGATTCAGTTTGTTTACACTCTCCTCTCTTTATTGTCTCCTCTGACATCCTCTGTGTCAGCGGTGTCAATACCCTGAGGAAAAACCTATGAGTAGTAGGGTCGTGAAAATGAACTTAAAGCACATTTACTCTTATTATTATTATTGACTTATATCAGACATATTTGCAATTAACCTGAGTATCTACATTGAGCAACTTCTTACTTCTAATCCACTGCATTTTAAGTGCATATATTTGACTTTTTATGTCGTTGCTTTGCAGATTTTACAGACTAAATAAACTTGATTGTTGACTTGTGGAGTGACTGACTGCTGAGTATATCATCTTTTTTAATAAGCTTCTCTATTTAACCCTCCTATTGTCTTCGTCCCCCCCCTTACTTTGGTGTTCGCGGTCAAATTTGACCGGTCCTGTTTTAACTGCTATTACATTAACACAAAAACCATTAATCATCACCACATTTCATTTAACACCCTTTCAAACTGTACATATTGTATCAGACTACTGGTATACATGAACAACTGCAGTAAATATACAAAGAACAGACACTGAACATGTAGTGCGTGTGCCAGGTGTGATCCATGTGGGGGGATGGGCACATAAGAGCGGGACATGTGTCAAATTGTTCTGTGTGTGTGTGTGTGTGTGTGTGTGTGTGTGTGTGTGTGTGTGTGTGTGTGTGTGTGTGTGTGCGTGTGCGTGTGTGTGTTTTTATCTGATCCGGATGGTTACTAATTCCTTTTCTTTATGGCGGTCATTTTTGTTACAAAGATGACTAAATCATCCTAAATTCAATGAAAGTGGTGATCAGCAATTCTCTATGTTCAAATGTCTACTGTGAAGGATATCATAAAGCCTTAATGCAATCGAATGTAAAACTAAAAAGTTATGATTGATGAAAGTAGTAAATCGGTCAGATTTGACCCGAAGACAACAGGAGGGTTAAAGTGTTTTTTAGTTACATTTGTGTGTATTAGGGTTCTGTCCTACAGGCGCTTTGTGGTATTTCTAAAAGACTCCTCGCTTTCTCCTAATTTCTGTCTGAAGCATGTCAAAAGTGTTTCACTAAATAGCCCTGACAGATGATTGGCTCATTGAAAGCTGATGCACTTGCAGGATTTGTGCTTTCTTTTGTATATTAATGGTTGAATGCACTCAAAAAAGCGTCAGCTAAATGCAACATAATGTAATGTCATCATTAAGCAACATGTTATCGTATCTGCAAATACATGCTGTTTTGTATGTTATAATACAAATACTAACAGTACAAATGGGAGCTAAATATCTCTAAAGTCAATCTGAAGATGGGTGACTGGCTTTCTGCTGCAATGCATCTTGGTAGCTGTAGTTATATCTTCTCCTCTAAACATCTGTACACATGCTTGTACCTTATTCACTTTTTTAAATACAAATTGAATGTGACTTTCACTTCTGCAGCGAGGAGAGGACGAAGTGCCTCCTTCACACTAAACCTGCATTCTCTCAGAGTCATTACGGCACTTTTTTGTTAACGTTGTCATTAAACTCTTAAAACTGATTTTTTTTGGTTGCAGAATTGTAAATAGTTATTCATGCAGACTGTTACGTTCCCTCCTGGACTAGGGGTACAAAGGGAAGTAACAACATATAAAATAACCAGGAGAGAGAAAAACGGAGAAGAAACCGATTGCTGAAGCCACAAGGTGATGCTTTGATTAGTCAAAGAAAGTAAAGAGGGCTCAGCAGCCAATTAGCAAAGTAAGCTAATGTCAAACTAAAACAACTTTCTCATAAAACAAAGTGACTACAGATACAACGGTACACTGGAGCACATCTCCTAACAATAAACAAAACACAAGTTAAACTAGCAGGCCTCACACAGAGACGAGACGAGACACTACGAGACACTACACTAGGGCGACTGTGGCTGAGAGGGCGTGCGGTCGTCTCTCAACCAGAAGGTTGTGGGTTCGATCCCAGCCCATGCAGTCAACATGTCGATGTATCCTTGGGCAAGATACTTAACCCTGAGTTGCTCCCGATGGCCAACGGTGTGTGAATGTGTGTGAATGTTAGTTCCTAGAGTAAGGTACACTGCTCTGAATGAATGAATGGGTGAATGACATGTAGTATGTAAAGTGCTTTGAGGGGTCTTAAAGACTGGATAAAGCGCTATATAAGTACAGTCCATTCACCATTACTACACCACACATGCAGAGGAGAATGAGAGCGAGACTGCAGCCTTCCTCAAGGTCCTTTATGGAGGCCCTGATTGGGGATTGGGAGCACCTGAGGGAGAGGCTGCACCTGGAGGGAGACAATCAGGGGGAGAGGGAGAGACACACAAACACAACACGGCACGTAACACAGACCAAGGTTTTTTTTTCAGGAGTGCCTTGTACAATCATTGAAATGCCCCTTTAGGAAAATGATGTTTTTCAATGCACATTAAAACATATGTATCAGGGGGACGGAGACCCCACTTTAAACCCTTTATGTTAATATGAGCCAGTTTATCCAGAGGTGAAGGGTCACAGTGTGTAAACAGAAGTGAAGCTGCTGTTTTTAGGCTGTCGGTTTTTTCCCGCTGTGAGGCGTCTCTGCAGGACTGGAGCTGTCGACGTCCGGCATGGCTCAGAGCTCGGGGGGGTTGAGTGTAATTACAGCAGTTTTGCCTCATTAGCAGTGAGGAGGCGTGACCCTGAATCAGGTCTGACAGGAGGAGGGGCTGAGGGGAGACCTGATCCATACTCACTGTAACAATTGGTTGTTTTGATCCAGTCTTTTTATATCCAACTCACTTCACTCAGACTAAAATATGATTTATTTTAGTACAACAGATACTTTCAAACATGCAAACCAAAACTGAGGTTGAAATAAGGTTCACAAGCATCCTTTAATTAAAAAATCAGCCATTTAATGTGGGATTTTGAGAGAGTCAAATTCTGGGATTTCAGCTTCTTTGATGTGAACAGTTTCTGGTTTCTTTACTTTTGTATCAGAATCATCGGAATACCTTTGAGTTGTTCACAAAACATGACTTTTGAGTATGTGAATAATCACTTAATCGATAAGGAAAATATTCGATGGCTGCAGAACAGGCGGAGTGTCAGTTAAATGAGTATCTCTCCAGTATGTGAGTAAATGCATTTCCCACTGGATCTGATACATGCTGAAATACTATTGGTTGTTTGATACAGTCGTTATGTTCTTATATCCAACTCATTTCACTCAAACAAGAGAGTGTTCAAGAGATACTACTTTCAGACATGCAAACAAAAACTGACTATGAAATACGGTTCACAAGCATCCTTTAGTTCAAAGGCCACTTAATGTGTGATTTTGAGTTCCTTTTATAAGGAAAAAAGGTACAATTCTGGGATTTCATTGAGCCCTTTCTAGTTGCTTTACTCCTACATCAAAATCATCCAAATACCTTTGAGTTGTTCATAAAATAAGACTTTTGAGGACGTGGATAATCACTTTTTTGATAATGAAAATATTCAATGGCTGCAGAACTGGAGGAGTGTCAGTAAAATGTCAGTGTTTATGATGAGTATGTGAGTAAATACATTTTCCACTCCTTTTATTTTGGGGTCATCTCAACGTTTTTTGCAATAACTCCAAACTGGAGATACTTGTCTTAAAGTCGACCTTTCAAAATAAGAGCAATGTGTTGGGATGTTTCCTCCCTGAGGGATGTTAGCCTGCAGCTCACCGTCCTGCAGGAAACCAAATGATGAAATTACATGAAATTAAAGGAAATAGCATGCAGGACATTCACCACACACACACACGCGCGCACGTACGCACACACACGCACGCACGCCCGCACACACACACACGATGTGGGATTCAGTGGATGTGTGTGTCGGGGTGGGGCTCTGTTTTTCTTTTTGTGTCGATTGCGTGTGTGTGTCTGTGTGTGTGTGTGTGTGTGTGTGTGTGTGTGTGTGTGTGTGTGTGTGTGTGTGTGTGTGTGTGTGTGTGTGTGTGTGTGTGTGTGTGTGTGTGTGTGTGAGAGAGAGTCTGGATGGAGAGACGGGGCATCCCACTCACCCTCTGCACGGCCGGAGACACACTGCTGCGCTGCTGTCATGGCAACAGCAGCAGTCACCACCGCCAGCATGGGCCACACACACGCACACACACACACACACACACACACACACACACACACACACACACACACACACACACACACACACACACACACTGATATTTGTTTTTATTCTTTAAATTGTTAAATTTGCATTTGAAGAAATGATATGGTCGCAGGGTTTATAAAACCAACAGATACATAAATAAAATAAATATAAAATAGCAATAACAATCAACAAAGCAGAAAACAGAGGATGTAAAAAAAATGAAGAATCATCATAATAAACATTTAGTTTGACTCTCTAACCCACATCTAATTGCCAGCCACATGCATCTGAAAAAAGTGTTTCCTGTGTAAAAGGAAATGGTGTAATGAGGGTTTTTTGGCCTATCTCATCATCAGATGTCTTCAAACCGGACATGCTCTGCTCGCTCTGCAGAGCAGCCTGCAGAGCGAGCCTCTGATGTAAATGCTGTATTAACGGGACAGAGAGACAATGCATTCAAACAGGTGTTGGTGTGATCAGCAGAACATCAGGTGCTGCTCGGACAGAAACACCGAGCCTCTTAAAGCTGCTGTCAGAAAGTAGGTCGGGAGAGGAGCGACGACTGTTTGCAAGCATTGTGTTTTCTTTGTTGTTTAGCGCGAGGACTGTGCCTTTTTCTCTTCCTCTTTACGCACAGGTGGGAGAAACCCGCCCCGCGTGCAGTAGGACAGCCCCCCCCCCCCCCCCATCTCTCTCTCTCCCCCCTCTCTCTCTCCCTCCCTCTCTCTCTCTCTCTGGATGTGAGGACATTTCTCAGCGCTGCGGTTCGGGACAGCTCGCTGCTAACAGGTGTTCTGCAAACTGACCCGGTTTGCACAGAAGAACCGGCGCGGAACCGGATCTGCTTTTTTTTACGCGCAGGACAGGACAGCACGCGCAAAAGGGGCCAAAAGGGAGGAGATTCAACCAAGTGCTTCTTCTTATTAGCCTGGGCTGTTCAGAGGGGGGGGGGAGAAAGAGAGGGAGAAAGGGAGCGATGGCAACGAAAAAGGCGTGCGTGGATGCGCCCAAAAGGAGCCGGAGTCCGGTGGTTCTGGAGGCGGAGATGTTCGGGGAATTTCAGGACTGGTGTCTCCGGACTTATGGAGACTCCGGGAAAACAAAGACGGTCACCCGGAGGAAATACAACAAGATCATGCAGACTCTGTTGCAGAGCGACGAGTCGGACGGCGTGTACATGGACAACATCAACGCCAAATTCAAATTCTGGGTAAAGTCCAAAGGCTTCACGGTCGGAACCAACGTGTTGGGGGGGGAGAAGAAGAAAGGAGCCCCGGGGAAACCCGTGCTGTACGTCCCGGTCAAGACAACGGTAAAGTGTGTGCGTGTGTCTTTATAGTGTGTGTGTGTGTGTGTGTGTGTGTGTGTGTGTGTGTGTGGGACTGGATGTCCCGTCGCCGCCTTTATAACTTCATGATGATTTTAATGAAAGGTAACTTGGTGTTTTGGTCCCGGCTCGCCTTTCTGGTTTTTTTTCTTGCTGGTGCAGCCTCACTTTGTGTCCACATCCCAACATGAGCACTCTCATCCCTGCTGCCATGGCAACGCCGGTGCCTCCTGGCAAATCGCGGTGGTGAAAGGTGTCCTCGCTCTTTCTCTCGCGCCCCCCACCCCCCCCTGTAGAGAGGTTAAAGTCCTCTGTGTGCACAGTGTTGACTCTTTATATCAGAAGCATTTTTTATCATCGTGCAGGTCTCGTGCATGCTTGATTGTGGTGATGCATGTGCGCGTTCGTGCGTGCGTGGATGCAAAGGCATGCTGGGCTACAGGCACTAACTTAGCTCTGATGCTCCAGCATTTCTGACTGTCACATTTTAAAAAACATTTTATTTATACAGCCCCCCATGACAAGTGTCTCAGGGGATTTACATTATCAACATGAATGACAGTAAAGTATATGTTTTAATTCCAGTTAACACATAATACAAATCCATAGAATACATTTAAATAAAATATATTAAAATAAATAAAATATGATAAATTATAATACAATAAAATATATTTAAATGTAATAAAATAGAATTATATTAAGTTTAATAAAATATATTAAAAATAAATTAAAATAAAATATATTTAAAAACAATAAAATTAAGTTAAATTAAATATATACAAAAGAAATTAAATATATTAAAAGAAAAAAATATTTAAATTCGATAAAATAAATAAAAATAAAATATATGAAACATTAAGCACGAGCCAGCCCTATTTATAAGCAATTTTTAAGCTTTATTAAAAAATAAAACTCCTGCTCTGCTATGTGGGGAGGGTGTTGCATCCCGAACACAAACTGGGATCTTTATAACTGAAGGCTCTCATTCTACTTTTGGAGACTCTAAGAACCATGCATCTATTATTACTTATCAAAAATGACACAGGGCATCCATTAATCCTCCTTTGACAGACCAATCGAGGTTAAAACCAGTCGAATATTTGTCTTTGTTTTGCAGAAAATAGTCCCTCTATAGTCTTCGCACTTTTCCTCTCATTGTCCTGGGCTGATGCGGATCGGCACTCGTTGCTCTGGCAACACCTGTGCAGCTGCAGCGTTTCATTGTGCACGTGAAGCCCCGTTAAAGACTGCAGGAGAAAACATTTATTTAGGAAAAAATATATATCATTATTATAATTTCACCGATGCATTTGTCCCGGTGTGCGTAATTGGTAAGCGTGATAGGGGGGGGGGGGGGACAAAAGGGCCTGAAAGCGACTCGGAGCTCACATGTTTCCGGATGAAGGGGTGAGGAAGTCAGGGCGCTCTCCATTCATCTGATATATCCTGCTAGTGATGGACACAGACACTCATAAATAAATAACAGCATTGATAAACGAGGTATGACAAAGCATTGCAATAATTAAGTAAATGTCAATGTATGCATATTTACTCATTTAAATATCAGAATCAGAAACAGGTGTAACACATTCAAGGAATTTGCCTTATATGATGCAGACATAAACACAGTTTCAGATCTCTGAAACAAAACATATTTTAAGAAAACTACTATCACATACAAAAATATAGCAATATATACCGGTAAAAATAAAATATAATATGTGCAGTATTGGCATGACAAGTGGAAAGCCGTGCAGATATAAGAGGTAGCTTTGTGTACAAATACACACACACACAACACACTTATGTCTACATTTTTGTAGTTTCTATTAGCATTTTATAGTCTGAAAAATGTGTAAATATGTACATTATGTGTATTTCTGTTAGACACAAAACAGACAGCTTTATTCCGTCTAAGTTTCTGGTTCTTTTTTAAGCTTTTTGTGGACGGAAACTCTGAGAAATCACTATTACAAGATGTAGTCGAATAGACTAAGATAAGATAAGAAATACTTTATTGATCCCAATTTGTGAAATGTTTGCGTTGCAGCAGCATAAAAAGGCATTGTAATATACAAATTAAAAGACTAGAAATAAACAAGAAAGTAGAAAATATACATGTTGAATTACAAATTTACAGTAACACAATATAAAGCAAGTTATTATATATATGTGAGGCATGGAATATTAACTATATGAAACTACAGAGAGAGTGAGAGTATGTTTGATGACAGTAATTCTGATTCAAAGATAAACGGAGCATCGCCCCTCTCCATGTCTCTGTGCCAGAAAACAGACAACCACCATTTTAAATGAGTGCCTTCAGGGAATAACCCCCATCCTGCTGGGACACAGAGTCTCTGGAGCTCCACTGAAAGCTTTGTTTTTAATGTCTGAATGGCACTGATCCCTCCACAGGTGTGTTACCTGTGTGAAAGCAGGGTTTAGATTCAGGCCTTCACTAACCTGCTCTAATCTCCTCCTGAGATTCAGTTTCCTGCAGCAGGAGGGCAGGTGAAGCTCTGCAGGTGCAGCAGGACATGTTCAATAGCGTTGACTTTAGACCTCAATATACACCCCTTTGGTTAACTATTCAACATCCTCCAGGTGAGGTTTACAGGGTGGGATAATGGTTAGGAGTTAAGTAATCAGATGCATTTGGTTAGAGTCTTTAAACCGTGATTACATTCAGTCTGAACCTCATTTTTCACTATTAACTATTATAAAGAGGCTGTGAATGCAAAAAGTACATTTATCACTGTATAGGTCACAATTATCACTACATCATTATAGGGCTCTATCCTGCTGATGTTCAGGTGTATATCAGTATGTAGTGTCTCTACTTTAAAGAGTCCTCTCCTGCTGATGTTCAGGTGTATATCAGTATGTAGTGTCTCTACTTTAAAGAGTCCTCTCCTGCTGATGTTCAGGTGTATATCAGTATGTAGTGTCTCTACTTTAAAGAGTCCTCTCCTGCTGATGTTCAGGTGTATATCAGTATGTAGTGTCTCTACTTTAAAGAGTCCTCTCCTGCTGATGTCCAGGTGTATATCAGTATGTAGTGTCTCTACTTTAAAGAGTCCTCTCCTGCTGATGTTCAGGTGTATATCAGTATGTAGTGTCTCTACTTTAAAGAGTCCTCTCCTGCTGATGTTCAGGTGTATATCAGTATGTAGTGTCTCTACTTTAAAGAGTCCTCTCCTGCTGATGTTCAGGTGTATATCAGTATGTAGTGTCTCTACTTTAAAGAGTCCTCTCCTGCTGATGTTCAGGTGTATATCAGTATGTAGTGTCTCTACTTTAAAGAGTCCTCTTCTGCTGATGTTCAGGTGTATATCAGTCTGTAGTGTCTCTACTTTAAAGAGTCCTCTCCTGCTGATGTTCAGGTGTATATCAGTATGTAGTGTCTCTACTTTAAAGAGTCCTCTCCTGCTGATGTTCAGGTGTATATCAGTATGTAGTGTCTCTACTTTAAAGAGTCCTCTCCTGCTGATGTTCAGGTGTATATCAGTATGTAGTGTCTCTACTTTAAAGAGTCCTCTCCTGCTGATGTTCAGGTGTATATCAGTATGTAGTGTCTCTACTTTAAAGAGTCCTCTCCTGCTGATGTTCAGGTGTATATCAGTATGTAGTGTCTCTACTTTAAAGAGTCCTCTCCTGCTGATGTTCAGGTGTATATCAGTATGTAGTGTCTCTACTTTAAAGAGTCCTCTCCTGCTGATGTTCAGGTGTATATCAGTATGTAGTGTCTCTACTTTAAAGAGTCCTCTCCTGCTGATGTTCAGGTGTATATCAGTATGTAGTGTCTCTACTTTAAAGAGTCCTCTCCTGCTGATGTTCAGGTGTATATCAGTATGTAGTGTCTCTACTTTAAAGAGTCCTCTCCTGCTGATGTTCAGGTGTATATCAGTATGTGGTGTCTCTACTTTAAAGAGTCCTCTCCTGCTGATGTTCAGGTGTATATCAGTATGTAGTGTCTCTACTTTAAAGAGTCCTCTCCTGCTGATGTTCAGGTGTATATCAGTATGTAGTGTCTCTACTTTAAAGAGTCCTCTTCTGCTGATGTTCAGGTGTATATCAGTCTGTAGTGTCTCTACTTTAAAGAGTCCTCTCCTGCTGATGTTCAGGTGTATATCAGTATGTAGTGTCTCTACTTTAAAGAGTCCTCTCCTGCTGATGTTCAGGTGTATATCAGTATGTAGTGTCTCTACTTTAAAGAGTCCTCTCCTGCTGATGTTCAGGTGTATATCAGTATGTAGTGTCTCTACTTTAAAGAGTCCTCTCCTGCTGATGTTCAGGTGTATATCAGTATGTAGTGTCTCTACTTTAAAGAGTCCTCTCCTGCTGATGTTCAGGTGTATATCAGTATGTAGTGTCTCTACTTTAAAGAGTCCTCTCCTGCTGATGTTCAGGTGTATATCAGTATGTAGTGTCTCTACTGGGACATGTCTCCATGCTTTAATGTTCAGCTGCAGCACATCTTTTCACCCTCTGTCTGAAACCAGAGTCCAGTCTGCTCTGATTGGTTAGCTGGCCAGCTCTGTTGTGATTGGTCAACCGCTTAGAGATGTCCCCCGAGTGTAACATGGTGATGTCAATATGTTCTGGACGTAAAGCAGAATAGGGCCCCTTTAAAAGTAATTTTCCGTGCAAAACAATATCAGAAAACTATTTTTAGACGCTCAAATGGTGAGATTTCCTATTTTTCTCAGTTTTCAATTACAATATTATTTGTGGAAATCTATTTTCATCTGGCTGCGAATATTTTTGTATTGTATAAAGTACCATATTTCAATGTTTTAATGTTGAAGTAGTCCAAAATTAATCAGATTAGATTCATTTGTTGTGCATTCCAATGGATTATGTTTAAACCAATTACTAAAACTGGTGTTTAATTTGTTTCCAGACTAGATTTCATAGTAATCTGACCCTGCTGATTTCTCTGTGAGGAATAAGGTCTGCAGAAAGTCTAACACTTTATT